ACCTGGCCGGTCTGGCTGGCCAACCCTCCCCGGCCCATCCACTTCCTTCACAGAGGGCACCAAGGGCTCAGCCCGCCGTACTGCCGGACATGGCCAGGCCTGTCCCTGACACAGCCTCAACGCCCCCGCCGGCCCGCCGCTCTTCCAGCCCGGCCCCCACCCACCGGCTCCCAACTCCCTGGCCCCCTCCCGGTCCCCAGCGCCCCCCGCCCCCGCCAGACCTTTGGGCCCAGCCCTGCCCCGGCTGGCCCCAGCACCCCCGCAGCCAGCCCCCCCTCGTGCCCCAGGGCCCGGTGCTCCCGGCCCCCTCTGCCCCACCGCAGCCCTGTCCCCGTTCCTCCAGCCCCGTCCTTGGCCTCCCCACCTTCCGGACTCCCGGACCCCTCTGGCGAGCCTCGCCTGTCCTCTCGTGTCCTCCACTCCACAGCCTCCCAAAGTGGCTGCTCCAGAGGAGAACGCGTAGGGCTGCAAGGGCGGGATGAGGGCTGCCGGGTCCTGCCTGCAAGTTTCTCCGCCCCCACCCCCACACTCCCACCAAACCCACCTATGAGAGGAAAAGCACAGCTCAGTGGCCTCGCAGTCGGCACAGCCCACCGTGGGCTTGGCGGCCGCAGAGGCGGGCGCTAGTGCGCAGGCGCTCACCCGCCTTCGGTTTGCGCAAGCGCGGCGCAGCCAGACCTCGTGTGGGCCTCGACGGCGGCGGTGCTCCCCAGCCCAGCATGGCCGCCTGGGTGTTCTGTAATCGGTGCTTCCAGCCGCCCCGCGGGACGTCGTGCTTCAGCCTGACCAACTGCGGGCACGTGTACTGCGACACCTGCCTCGGCAAAGGTGAGCAGCCTCAGCAGGCCTAGGCTCCAGCTGGGGGCGGAGAGAAGGCCTGTGGGAGAGGGGAGGCAGGAGCAGGAGGAGGGCTGGGGGGAGGGGAAATACCAGGGGCAGAGGGGAGGCCTGCAGGGTGCCTGTCCCATGGCAGCTTGTCCTTTCATCATAGACCAGGGGAGCAGGGCACCTGGAGTGATGGTGGTGACTTGGGGAGCTGACCGACTCCAGCCTCTCGCCTTGGCGCCGGGAGTGTGGCATTCCCTGCACCATAGAGCAGGCAGACACTACACTAGACCCTGTCGGGAGGATGCTCTGAAAGACAAGTGCCACAACAGTGAAGCCAGAGCCAGAAGGGGTATGAGAGTCCTCTGGGGGCAGCCGGGCCCACAGCGGGGCTCCCAGGCAGGAGAGGCAAGTGCAGAGACCCCAGAGTGGAAGGAAATGTGGAGAGGCTGGAGGAGCTGGAAGAATTCCAGAAAAGCTGGACTACAGCCTGGAGAAGTGGGCCGAAGGATGCCTACAAAAGCCCCTGGCCCGGTTTAGTGGGCAATGCAAAGCCATCAAAGCCATTGTTTTTAAGCAGGGTAGTTACATGATCAGAGATGTATTTATTTATTTTTAATGAAAACTTTTTGTTGAAGTAAATTTTATACAGGAAAAAAAAAGCATAAATGCAAAGCACAATGAATTTTTACAAAGTGAACTTACCTGTGAAATCCGTTCTCAGATTAAGAAACAATACATCACCAGCCCCTCTGAAGCCCTGGCAAGGATGACCACTAACCTGACGTCCATCCATGTAGACTGATTTGAATGTTAAGTAGATGGAATCATACAACCATGCAGAATGCTCACTTTCCATGTCTCATTTCTGTTGTTCAGCATTACATTTGCAAACTTCATCTCTGTATTTGAATATGACCATAGTTCATCCACTTATATTACATTGTATGGCTATACCCTAACTTACTGATCATTTCTACTGTTGATGGGTATTTGGGTTGTTTTCATATTTGCCTGTGACAGTGCTAGTGTGAACATTCTTGCTTATGCTTTTGGGTGAGTATAGGTACATATTTCTGTTGAGTAGATAACTATGAGGAGAGTTGCTGAATTTCAGGTATGTATTTAAAAAGAAAAGTCTCTTTGCCAACTGGATAATAAGTAAATTGGAGGGAGATTGAAATTGTGGAAGAGACTGCAGTTGAGCATGTGAGAGGTAATGGGGACATGGGTTGGGGAGAAGTGATGTATTTGGGAGAAGTTGATTCAGCAGACTTGAGTCAAGGAAGAAAGCTAGGGAACTGGACAGGGTTTTCACTGCTGGACAGAGTGAATAGAACAGCAGATGGAGTGAGCGACTCAAAACTCACATTTGGATGTTGTCTGTGTGCTGTGAGAGCTGTGGGGGGCGGGGAGACAAGAGGCAGCTGTGTATATGGGGGTCTGGAAATCAAGAGAGCCATGAATTCATTTGGGGAGCCATTAACATGGAATAATAATCCAAGATATTGGAGTGTGGAGAGCCCCAAAGATGGAGAAAACTAGAAGATACTATCACCTGGGAAAGAGCATTTTTTAAAGGAGGTAAGTGAAGATAGGAGAAGAATGTTGGCTAGAAAAGAAAGCAGAAATGTTGATGAACTACATCTCAACAAAGTCAAAGAGTTGGTGTTTGAAAGTATCCACTGGATTAGTGAGGAGGTCAATGGTGACCCAATGTAATGTTGTTATGATGATAATGTTGTTAGGAATGATGGAGATGCGTGTGTGTTCATGGCATTGGGAGGTGAAATGACAAGGCTCAGAGTGTCATAGTTTTTGAGGTCAGCAATACCCAGGTTAAGGGGCTGGAGCAGGGGTAGATTCCCATGTACTTATAGCCCTTTAATCCTGAAGCCAACACAGGTTCCAGTGGCCCAAGTTCATTCCTCCAAAAGGCTTTAGATGCTGCATGTTGGAACGCTACCAAATACATACAAAAAGAATGGTGAAAAGGGTGGGGACTCTGGGCAGAGCCTGCGTATAGCTCCATAGCTGTCCAGTGGTCCATTACTCAGAGATAAGCCATCCTTAAGCACTGGTGTATATCCTTCCAGACTTTTTCCTACAGATGCAAATTTTTAAAACAAAACAAAAATGATATAGTGTGTATACCATTTAGTGATCTGTTTTTATTACTTACTAGGATATGGACCTCTTTCCATGTTAAAATAAATCTGTATCATCATTTTAAGGTTGCATAATATTATCTTTTAGTTATTGTACCATAATTTATTTGATTCCCTACTAAAAGACCTTTATATTTGCTGAAATTTTGTCATTTATACACCACTTGTTCACTTACTTGATTTTTTCCTTTGAATATTTTCCAGAGGTGGTATGGCTAGACTAGAGGTGTGCACATTAAATCTGTCCAGACTGCCTTCCCAAAAGTATGTGCCCCTTTATATTCCCAGCATGTGTGCACTTTTTGTCCTCCCACTTTGGCATCTCTTACGAGTGACCTTGATTTTCTTTTCATGCATTTATTGGCTATTTGTACTTTTGCTGATTGCTCATATGGGTCCCTTCACAGCCTTTAATTGGAGCATTTCTTTTTAATTGACTTATAAGCACTATTTATATATCAAGTGTCAGTCACTTTGTCTGTGAGTTAGCTGCATATGATTTCTTCTCTGTCATGTCTTTTAATCCTCCTCCTCCATCAGAACTTCTAGATGTTTATGAATCAGCTCTGTTAATCTTTTACTACCTAGCTTCTGCCTATCATGATGCATAAGAGGAATTTCCTTACCCCAAAATTTTCAGCCAAAATATAGAACGGTGGGAATGTACTGTTGAAGGTGGCTGTTTTTAGGATGGGGGCAACTTGAACGTGTTTGTAAGAATAGAAGAAAAGAGACAACCCTGGAGGCTGTTAGAAGATGACCACTCATTCCACACCAGGGCACCATTCTGTGCGCTAGGTTCTGTGGACACCGAGATGAGTGTGAACGCACAGATGAAGCCTTGGGCTTAGACTTGAGCTGGAGGAGATAGCTCCTTCAAGGTAGACAGGAAGGAGGCCTGGTGAATTGGGTTGTATAGCAGGTACACGTAGAGGGAGAGGGCAGAGAAATTGAGGTAGGCCATCTGCAGTTACTTCTTCTCAGTAGGTGATATAAGGACGTCTGTTTGAACACCCTCCCAATAGGGAATGGTCAGAGACACCCAAGAAAAGTTGAAGGATTACCCAGCAGTGTTGCAGACTCAGAATGCTGGAATCCACAAATCTGTAAATCTTCCTCTTGGCGAAGGGATTTTTTCCCCCCAGTTCTTAGCTGTGTTGGCCTGGAAGAGGGGAGAAAAGAGCAGTTGGACTTATCAAGCTCTGGGCCAGACATGCTCCCTGGAAGGATGAGGAACATGGAGCCTTTGGTAGTGACTTGTCAGCCCTGGGCTCCAAGCTGGTTAGTGAAGAAATCAAGCCCAAGGGCACAAGGAAATGCCTGGTCTGGTATGAGAGTCCTCACTGCTCCCAGACAGGGAGTTGGAGAGGTAGGGAGGAGTTCTGAGTTCTTATGACACTGTGGATGCTGTGGGGGCCCAGGGCATGGTTGTGACAGCAGGTGCTGATGTGGGTACATGGATGACATCACCAAGGAGGGCCAGTGGGGAACTGCAAGGCTGATGTTCATACCCAGCCACATGGAGGTCCAGGTTTTCCAGGGAGATAATTAGAATTTCATGGAGAAGAAGATGGTGAAAAAGGTGCTAGAATTACTGTGCATTTAAGGCCCAGACCCTGGAGATTGAGCAGGTGAATTAGCAGGATTGTAGCAGATGGGACACTTGAACCTTTCATTCTTAGTCCCTAGTGCTGGCTCACAGATAGCAGGAGCTCAGGGCAGTATGTATCTAGTTAGTGGAGGCGTGGTCTGTCCTGGACGTTGGGCACATTGTGCAATGCTGTAGAGGTGAGAGCAAGAGGGACAGGACAAACTTATTTCATATTGGGGAGCAGAGGGAGCTATTTTCATTTGGAATAGTTACAAATTTTGGATTAAGATAACGCTATAGAACCTAATTGTAACAAATATTGGGATAAATTTAACCTTAAGTATTGTTGATCTTTTTGGTCACATTTTGGAGCATATTTGCAAAGCAGGGGAAAAAAAGGATATTAGTTGTAAGAATAATTCCAACTGTATCCATACCCACAGCCTCATCATTTGTCTGAACATGAAGACATTTAAGTGTTATAATCCTATATATTTCTTAAAGAAGCTTTATAATTTAAAGTATGCATTTGTACATGTTTAAAAGCATTAGTCAGTATATAATAAAATCTATTTTTATTTTATAGGTAAAAAGGATGAATGCTTGATTTGTAAAGTTCCTTGTCGTACAGTTTTACTTTCAAAGCATGTAAGTTGAAATCTGTAGTATCTGAATATTAATCACAATATTATTTCCTTTTAAATTTGAGATTTAATTTTTAGTCATTTGTGGTATCTAAAATTTTCAGTCATTGTCCTAGGTTGGCTGGTTCTTACAAGTTGCTGAATAATCAAAATATGGTTTGGGATTTGGTTTTTAAAACGTCAATACAGCTTTTTTTGTTAGCCATAAATTGACTTTATTTGTAGTTTGTTGAATTGTGTTGTGTTCCTGGGAATGAAAATGGGTTAAATAGATTTCTTCAGCACAATACAAGCTCCTTAAGAGGGTGATAGAGTTTGACTTTTCAGAGGGATCATATAATTAAGAGGGTTGTTCATAAGGTAAGTTTAAACATCAATTACTGGCCAGATGTGGTGGCTCATGCCTGTAATCCTACACTCTGGGAGGCTGAGGTGGGAGGATCGCTTGAGGTCAGGAGTTTAAGACCAGCCTGAGCAAGAGCGAGACCCTGTCTGTACTAAAAATAGAAGGAAATTAGTGGGACAACTAAAAATACATAGAAAACATTAGCCAGGCATGGTGGCACATGCCTGTAATACCAGCTACTCGGGAGGGTGAGGCAAGAGGATTGCTTGAGCCCATGAGTTCAAGGTTGCTGTGAACTAGGCTGATGCCACAGCACTCTAGCCCGCCCAACAGAGTGATAGTCTGTCTCAAAAAAAAAAAAAATCAATTACTCCTGCAGTAGGCTTAAAACAATGCCTTTTGTTCTGTCTATAAAGTATGTCAGTTTAACTTGTTTTTGGTATAAACTTAGTTACAAATGATTATGCATTTGGTCAGATGTTTTAAAATAATCATAATTGTTTTTTCTGATTACAAACGTAGTACAAGGTTATGCAGAATTCAAATACAGAAAATCATATGGTAAATGTGAAAGTTCCCAAATCTTGTTTCCCAATGATGATGACAGCCAGTAGTTTGGTACCTGTTCTGTGTGTGTTGTTGTGATATATCTTTTTACAAAATGATGTTTTCTCACTTGATGCTATATTTTGGGCACACTCACGCTCTTTTTAAAATGACTGCATGATATTTTAGTATTTTCCTATTAGTGAGCCTTTGGGTTTTTTCAGTTTTTCACTATTTCAAACAATGTTATAATGAATATTTTTTACTAATATCTCTCCCCACTTTTAAGAATATTTCCGTGGCACAAATTCCTACAGTGAAAAAGCAAGGGCAAAAGATTTAAATGTTTAAATTTTTAATAGAAAGTACTTTTTTTTCCTCCAAATATGTGACAGCTTAAACTCTTAGTGACAGAGCCCATCTCTGCTCCTTGCTCTGCTGCGTCACACTGAGCCCGTCACATGGTCAGGTGGTGGGTAGGGCCCTTGAGCCTTTCTCTAACTTCTTGGGCTGAATCTGTAGGTCATTTATTTTCTTTCTTGTTTCCTAATAGATATATTTGAGACAATCCATTTCCTTCTGTGAAGTGCTATTCTATATCACTTTTTAAGTACTGCTTTTCTGTATCATTTCTAAATAGTCTCTAATCTTTTTATATATTTTTAACTCCAGAATTATTGGAAAGAATATTTTTAAATTTGTAAGTGCTTAGATCTTAGCTCCACTGTCATTTGTATAGTTAATTTTGAGGTTTATGGCATTGTGACCAGAGAATGTGGCTGTATGGATTTTTTTTTTAATTATCAAGGTTTCATTGTGGCTTAATACATGGTAATTATTAATATTCATTTGTATTAGAAAAAATGTATATTCTTTTGTCCTCTGTGTATGAGTGTATGTGTGAGCCCATGAAGTAGCTCAGAATATTGAAGTTGTTCTGCTATTCTGCTTCTCTTTCTCTCCTCCCACACTCTGATCCATCAGCGGATTGCGTGGGCTCTGCCTTCCCCATTGTTCCACCTTCACAGAAGCTGCTGGTTCTTCCTCCTCTCGCTCTGGCTTCTTGCAGCCTGTTTCTACTCTACGGCCAGAGGGATCTGCTTAGTCAGATCCATGCCTTCCTGTGTCCCAACTTTCCAAGAGCAAACCCCGAAGTCCCCTCGTGTCAGTAGGCTCTGTAGCCTGGCCTGTGGCAGCCTCCTGGTCCCTAGGCAGGTAACCCTGGCTGCTGCTCTCCCTGAGCCAGCTGTTTCCATCTCAGTGCTTGGCCCGGGAAGAGTTAAGTGGATACCAGTAACCAGAATGACAGAAGAAGGCCAGGGCTGGGGTGTTGTTCCCTGGACCTCCTCCCTTTCTTCCTGGGCTCCTGGCTAGACTCGGTCTCCTCACCTGCCTTCCCATGATGGAATGCAGGCAGGAGCAACGAAGGCCACTTCTAGGCCTGGACAGCCCTCAGCCCTGCCACCCCTCTGCCACTGTTGCCCAGAGCCCAGCAGAGCAGAGCAGAGCTCTGCCATTGGAAGGCCGCCCGCAGAGCACGGTCTTGAATTGTGTATGGGTGGGAAACACATGTCCTCACAACAAGCCACTGAGATTTGGGCGTTGTCTGACACCCCAGTCAGCCTACTTTAGCCTTTGTGTATCCATGTAAATTTTGGAATCAACTTGTCAATTTCCACACACAAAAATCCTGTTGGGATTTTTATTTTGTGTTTAGTTTTTTTTTTAGAGAGGCTTTGTGTATCATTGTTAACATTATTCTTAGATATTTAATGATTTGGGATGCTACTCATCGTTTTAAAAAAATTCATAAGTACTAATGCCAGTATATAAAAATGTAATGGATTTTGTTTATTTTTTTTTTTTTTTATTTCGGCATATTATGGGGGTACAGATTTTAAGGTTTCAATAAATGCCCATTTCCCCCTCCCCCCAAAGTCTGAGTCTCCATCATGACCATCCCCAGATGGTGCACATCTCACTCATTATGTATGTATATACCCGCCCTCCCCCTCCACCTGCCCAATACCCTATTACTGTAGTACCTATGTGTCCACTTAGGTGCTACTCAGTTAATACCAGTTTGCTGGAGAATATATCTGGTGCTTGTTTTTCCATTCTTTGGATACTTCACTTAGTAGTATGGGTTCCAGCTCTAACCAGGAAAATATAAGATGTGCTATATCACCATTGTTTCTTAGAGCTGAATGTACTCCATGGTATACATATACCACATTTTATTAATCCATTCTTGGATTGATGGGCACTTGGGCTGTTTCCACAGCCTTGCAATTATGAATTGTGCTGCTATAAACATTCGAGTGCAGGTGTCTTTTTTGTAGAGTGTCATTGAATCATTTGGGTAGATGCCCAGCAATGGGATTGCTGGATCAAATGGTAGATTCACTTGTATCGCTTTAAGGTATCTCCATATTGCTTTCCACAGAGGTTGAACTAGTTTGCAGTCCCACCAGCAGTGTAGGAGTGTTCCTCTCTCTCCGCAACCACGCCAGCATTTATTGTTTGGAGATTTTTGATAAAGGCCATTCTCACTGGGGTTAAGTGATATCTCATTGTGGTTTTGATTTGCATTTCCCTGATGATTAGGGATGTTGAGCATTTCTTCATATGTTTGTTGGCCATTCTTCTGTCTTCTTAGAAAGTTTCTGTTCAAGTCCTTTGCCCACTTTTTAATGGGGTTATTGATTTTTTCTTCCTGATTTCGTGAGTTCTAAGTATATTCTAGTTATCAGTTCCTTATCGGATGCATAGGATGCAAAAATTTTCTCCCATTCTGTAGGTTGTCTGTTTACTTTCATGACTATTTCTTTGGCTGTGCAGAAGCTTTGTAGTTTGATCATGTCCCATTTATTTATTTTTGTTGCTGCTGTGATTGCCTTTGGGGACTTCTTCATAAACTCTTTGCCCAGGCCGATGTCTAGGAGAGTGTTTCCAACTTTTTCCTCTAGATTCTAATAGTTTCATACCTTAGTTTAAGTCTGTTACCAGCGTGAGTTGGTTTTGTGAGAGGTGAAAGGTGTTGTCCTGTTTTAGCCTTCTACAGGTGGCTATCCAGTTTTCCAGCACCATTTATTGAAAAGGGATTCTTTTCCCCAGTGTACGTTTTTGTCTGCTTTGTCAAAGATTAGATGGCTATATGAGGATGGTTTATATCAGGATTCTCACATCGTTTCACTGGTCAATATTCCTATTTTTGTGCCAATACCATATTGATTTAATTACTACAGCTTTGTAGTATAGTTTGATATCTGGCATATTAATGCCTCCCATTTTGTTTTTGTTGCCTAGAATTGCTCTTGATATTCGGGGTGATTTTGTTTATTAACTTATACTAATAACCTTGTAAATATACTTGATAATTCTATTGGTTTATGTGTAGTTTCTTCGAGAGTACTTGTGTACACAATCATGTCATCTTTGAACAAGGATGGTTTTAGTTCTGCCTTTCTCATGCCCAAGCCCTTTTTTTTCTTTACTGTACTGTTCAGGGAATCTATTTCTTCCTGGTTGAGCCTAGTGAGGTGTGTGTTTCTAAAATTATCCATTTCCTCCACATTTTCCAGTTTGTGTGCATGGAGTTTTGTTAGTATTGTAAATTATATATTGTATCTCTTGGGATAAGTTGTGATATCTCCTTTTGTTCCTGATGGAGCTTATTAGAGATTTCTCTTTTGCTGTTTTGTTAGCTTATTCGGTGGCGGTCAATTTTGTTTATTTTTCGAAAACCACTTTTTGTTTTATTAATCTCCCGAATAGCTTCCCTGTTTTCAATTCCTTTAGTTCTGATTTGATCTTGTTGATTTCACTTCTTCTGCTGGTTTGGGTTGGTCTGTGGCTCTTTTTTCAGCTCTTTGAGTCTTCATTAGATTGGTCTGTTTGTGATCTTTTTTTTTTTTTTTTTGAGACAGAGTCTCGTGTTGTCCAGGCTAGAGTGAGTGCCGTGGCGTCAGCCTAGCTCACAGCAACCTCAAACTCCTGGGCTAGAGTGATCTTCTGGCCTCAGCCTCCGAGTAAAGCTGGGATACAGGCATGCGCCACTATGCCCGGCTAATTTTATATATATATATCAGTTGGCCAATTAATTTCTTTCT